CTGCTACTGCTGCTGCAACTGCAACTGCTACTGCTACTGCGACTGCGACTGCGACTGCGACCGCTGCCGCTACTGCTACTGCTACTGCTACTGCTACTGCTACTGCTACTGCTACTGCTACTGCTACTGCTACTGCTACTGCCACTGCTACTGCCACTGCTGCTGCTGCCAGTACCCGTGAAACTGCCACTGCCACAATCACTGCAGGCGACTGCAGGGATGCCATATCTTTGTCCTGTCATGGTTCCCACTGTTGCTGTTGCCGTTGTTGTCGTTGCTGCTGTTGTTGCTGTTGGTGTCGTTGTTGCTGCTGTTGATGAGGTTGTAGGTTTTTCCCTCAGCTCTTACCCAAGAGGAGCACCAGATACTTGAAGGATGTACACTGACTTGACTTCAAAGCCCTTTCCCGGCAAACTCTCAAAACTCCAAGACTTTCGAGACCTCGGAGTCGAGTCTCCATGGCGAGGGCAACGAGCGACCTCCGAAGCCGAAAGCCACGGAGGCAAAGGTGAGGAGTCCGCAGAAGAGGAGCATCTTCTTGAGCTGCCTTCTTGAAAATTGCGACATAAGAAGCTATACGCGAGAGGGTTCGGCGGTGTTGGGGCTTATATTGAAAGCATGTAGGATTCAAGGTTGGAAAGGTTTTGTAAGGTTTGGAGTTATGCGGCTCTTCGTCCAAGTTTCTCACTCTGGCATTAGGTGCTAAAAGGGTCCTAAGCTTGTTGGCTTGCATTCTGCCGGCAGTCATCGGTCAATGAAAGTCTTCCGACCGTCCGAAGCTTTCATCTCTCTAGTTCGGGCCGTCTTGCTCTGGCAAAGACGACAGGTCGGAAGCTTGGGCAAAGATGAATGTCAGGCTGCTGAACGTGGGTGCCAGGATGCGGTTGAAGGATGAGGGACAGCTCTCCATCCCAAAATCTCGTTACCTTTGACCTTTGACCTCCGGAAGTCGCAAACTCTGCTTGCAATGCCAGCCGTTCAGGGTTTCGGCCCACAGTCAGTCGGTACTACCCTACTTGCTCTCGGGGTTCGGCCGAGCTACCTCACCGCCTGAACGTTCAAATCTTCTTCGGGGAGCATCTCGCTCCATGCTGCCTCACGAGGCGAGGTTGTCAGGTGTTGTCATTTCATCCGCACTTCCTCGTGGCTCGCTTCTTGCAGACTAGGCCTTGGGTTGAGGATCCGTAAGTTTTCGCCGCAATCCGTGAGATTCTGATTCGGATTTATAAGGTTGCATGACCATGAAACCAACCAGCATCCGACACTCCAACCTGGTTAGGATTCTGATTGAACAAACGGCTCTGGAAACTGCCTGCCCTGCCACAGGGACGGCTTGGCGTCCTGCACGAGTCTATCCATCGATCAATCGCAAGCTCTTTGGGAGGTTTGTCGGTGTGTGTGCGTGTGTGTGCTTCCCTGGCAAGACCTGGTTATCTTGCCTCTATAGACCCTAACACTACCGGAGGCATCGGCCGACAGTATGGGCTGAGTCAACTGGAAGAAGTTGTAGTGTAAGGACAGTACCGACTACGACGCACACTATGTCAGCCAGATCAGTCCATACTACATTGTAATACCGTACAGTTCTTGCTTCCTGAACCATCTGAGGGCCCTCAGACCGTAAAGGCTTCTTTCCGGGTCCGTAGAGGCTCGGCTGCGGTGGTTCCGGCGCCACCGCCATGCGCAGGCGCAGGCTGCGCAGGCTTAGGGAATGCGAAGAATTCTTGGCGAGCTGTTTAGGGTTGAGGCTTGAGGGCTTGCCGAATCTGCAAAGGGTGGGTTGAAGGTTGTGCTGTTTGGGGAGGGATCGGGAACAATACCGGCGGGGCCTTGGCTTCGTAGCACGATAGTGGCGTTTCGCCCAAGCTCCCAGGATCAGGAACATTCTTAAGAAATTCTATATACAAGAACTCTAAGAACGTCCCAGCCGGCTACATCTCGCGGTGCGGCTGCTGTCAAGGGGCCGGCGTCCGTGCACTGACTATCATTTGGTTTAGCATGCCTTGAGCCGGGAAGGCTGCCAGAAGTTCTACGCAGCAGATACACGACCTGCTGCGAATTCGCCTTTTCTTGGCACACCCCCACAACTTCGGGTTCCGGCTGCTTTTTTGAGGCTGAGTGTTGTGCAAGAAGCTACTGGGCAAGCCTAGCCTGCACTACCAACACACTACTTGTCGTGCTGCGACAAGGGGCGTATTGCCTCTGCATGGCTGTCGCAGGCAGTTCAGGACATAAGGCTTAGGCAGAGGACATGGATTCTATGTCAGTGTCGGTGGGTTAGGTCGTCAAGGTTGCATCTCCGGCATGTGGGGTGTCATCAAAAGCTAGCCAGTGAGGACCAAAATGCTGGAAGAACAAACGCGGACTGTTCTGAAAGGAACCGCTGATTTCGATATTACTTTTACAAATCGTCATGTCTTGAAAACTGTATGCAGACGCGATGCAGTGCAATGTCACGCAACTTTGATGCACATTCCACATCCTGAACATGGGATGGCCACACCCTGAACTGTCCTACAAAGTGGTGGCCTGTAGAGAAAGGTGCTGCGAAAAGTCCGGCCATCGCGCTGAAGGAAGTACAGCAACAAGCCTCGCACATGAGATCAACGCTCCGCAGCGACGTCTGAGGCATTTGGGGTAGAGCCTTCTTGGTTGGAGTTTCAAAAGCCTTGAGGCTTGCCAGTTTGCGCAGGCGAGGCAAGCATCCTGAAGCATCTCAATGATTTCAAGCGGAAACCTTTTTCCACGAAAAGCTTCGCAGCATGAGCCCATGTGCAGTCATGTACGCCTGTCTGCCTGATCAACATACACCGTTACTTACCTTTTAAAACCAGTTCAAGCCCAAAGGAGCAAACGAGCATGTGCACTGATAGTATGGTCGGAAGGTCGGAAAGAAACTGGAAAGTGCCTGGGCTTTTTGTGATGAGCTTAAGCACTGAGACGCTAGCAGCCCCACACTCTGTCTCGTTGATTGGTTGCTTGAAGTCAAAGTTGTGGCCTCCTAAACAGCCTCCACCCCGCCTGACAGTGCACGGCCACCTTCATCATAGTGGCGTGTAGGCTTCACGTTGAAGAGGTACCTGAAGCATAGTCCAGTCGATCCAGTTGGTAAAGTGCGGTTTGTTCGTGTCATGTCATGAGCTAAGAAGATCAAGCTTCAGTCTAGAGTCTAGGTCACAGTCGGACAAAAGCCAGGCCAGGCAGTCGCAGAATGCAAAGAATAAAGACCACTCAACGACCGGTGGCACCCTCGTCGTTGCTCACCAGGCCCCAGAATGTCGATGTCGAACCTGTCGTGATCGTAAGTCAGCTTATTACTTCATCGCCTGCCAGCAGGCAGATTACCCAGCATGGTTGCGAGCTTTCAGCTTGGAGCACTTTTGCGCGTGGCGCGTCCTGAAACGACTCTCTAGTCCTGGTATGACTCCAGCTCTGCCAAATTTCATCGCAAGCAGTCAGTAGGCAGGGTCGCTTGCATCCGCTTGAGTCCAGAGCTGTGCAAAGGAGCAGCGAGAACATGAAGTCGTCGTGCATTACGAAGATTGTCGGATCGAACCCCCTGAATATTTGGAAGTTCCCCTTTACAAGCAGTTCCAAAAATTCCACAGAAAAGCGTCAGCACTGAACCCGAAATCCTTCCTCAAACCCTTAACCCTATAGACCCTAAACCCCTAACCCTGACCGTCGCAACGGTAAACATGGCAGCCAGCTTCCGCTCGAGGTCGATGTCCTCGTCACCCGGCTTGCGCTGCCACCTGGGAAAAAGCTCTGAGAACTACTACACGTACTAATCGTACAACGTAATGGTGTATGAAATGAATATAGTCTGTAATGTACTTTAGCAGCATGACCTATTTTAATCAACTCAAACAAAGTAAACTAAAGATGATATAAGAATATGCAATACAAAATATAACAGGATAACAAGATAGAGAGGAACTGAATACAAGTCTGTCTCCCGACGTCCCTCTACAATGCGATTTGTCCGGGGCTTTTTTATTACTCGGTGCATTTTCGGGCCCTGTACTGTGCGTGTTTGGCCCGGCGTCTTCGTTGTTTTACTTTCTTTCTGCCCATGGTCAATCTTGAAGGACCCTCCAAAATCCCAACTCTTCAATCCTCAATCCTGAAGCTCTAAGCCTGAAGCCCCAAAACCCTATACTGTCCTATAATAAAAATAAAAAATAATAATAGTAGTAATAATAATAATAGTACTAATAATAATAGTATTTACTATGAAGGGAGCCCTGAACCCGAAACCACAACCCCGACCACCAAGCCCAAAACCCTAACTGGACCTAACCTGTCAAAAGAAAATCCTTGACCCTAAACCTCGAACCCTAAAACCCTAGCCCCCCAAGCCTTAATTATGGTACTCATCGAGAACCCTGATTGGAACCCTTAATTAACCCTAAATCAAGCCCTCAATCCCAGCCCCAAAACCCTATGTAGCACCATTAAAGGAATGCTAAACCCTAAATCCCCAACCCCGACCCCCAAACCTAAAACTCCTCTACTTCAGCCCGTCCCCCCGGAAACCTTTTACTCAAGCCCACCCGGACCCCGAAACCTACCGAGCTGAGCCCACAAAGAAACTGACTGAACCCTCCTGTAGGCCCACCTAGACCCCAAGGCTTCAGCCCACCTAGATGCCAAGCCAACCCAAGCCCCCTCGAACCCTCCAAACCCTTATAATTGCTTGAGCACACCTCGACCCCAAGCCAACCCAAACCCCCCATGAACCCTCCCAAACCCTTGTAACTACTTCAGCCAACTAAGACCCCAAACCAACACAAGCCCCCGCGAAACCTCTGAACCCTCCCAAACCCTTGTAATTACATAAGCCCACACAGACCCCATGCCAACCCAAGTCTTTACGGATGTATTTGTACTTGTGTGTACATATTGTATGTACATATGTATGTATGCATGTAGGTGCATATAGCTGTATATGTATATACTGTATATATATATATATACAGAGAGAAAGAGAGAGATAGAGCGAGAGACAGGGGGAGAGGGAGAGAGAGAGGGAGAGGGAGCGGGAGCGAGGGAGCTGTGGGGCCTGGGTTTTGCAACCCCACTCTCGCAACATAGTGACACTTTACCAACCCTAAACACTTCCCAACATGACAACACAAAGTGGCGATCACTTACGTTCCTGACTGAGGAACGTATTCAAGGTCAGGTTGAACATCTGCATAGTCGGACGTCAACGGGTGCCATACTGCTATAGTGACTGGTCAATTATTCGTATATTCCTGACTTTAACAAACCGAGTCAGGCCACATAAACTCGACCTGCCCCTCATGGAACTGTATATCTTACCCCTGCAAAACCTTTCATCGCTTCAAGCCAACCCACCCAACACCAGAACACAACGCATCATCTGTTTTGGCATGCAATGTCTGATTGTTTGATAGCATGTAGTGCTTCAGGTTAATTACTTGGAAAAGTGCTCTGGGTTCGAAGTTTGTGTTTGTATCGTTCTTTAGTGTGGCATGTCTACAAATATGAGTGACTGCAATATGTTAGCATGTAGCACTGTCAAGGAGTTCATGGGTCGAGGACTTACAGTTGCACGTTGTTGATAAAGTGTCATACGTGTCTTAGCTGGCACGAACCCTGCTTGTGAATATGCTCATGCCCAGCCTGCTAGCTCTATAGTTACTATAGTTTTGGTCCCCCACAATCTACAACCCCAAAATACCAAGCGTCTGGATGCATATCAACCCGCACATCTGGTTTGAATGACGCAATAGAACTCCACGGATCCTTCTGGTCCAGGCCCTGGCATGGCCTCCATCCCCACAGTTATGCATACGAGAAATCGTCTCGGTTTGATATACAATCCCTTCACATCGCAATGGCCCTCTATGGTTGGTGTTTGTCGTGGAGACTGGACCTCAGAGATACAGCATTTGGTATGCACAGGAAGCCAGGCACACGGACACATCTGCACTCTTCCACAGAAGTACCCCATGTGTGTATAAACAGACCTCAGTTGTTTTAAAACAAGGCCGGGTGTTGAAAACACAACGGACCACAAAAACATATGTTGCCCATGAACAGAAGCACCGTAAATACCGATGTTT